CGAGGGTAGATGATAGTGGCTTGCCGATTCTGGGAAATGTTATATCTTACGAAGCCACTAAACTTCCCGATGTATTTGAACCTACGGTGGGTTTACTTGTAACGATTCTGCACATGTATGCCCAAAGTACCACCAACGCATCCGCTATCGTTTGGCTTCGGACTTATGAGGCCATTCAAAAGGTTTATCTAGATCATGTGGATCAAGAAAATCAAGAGGCAGCGCAATATGCCATGGAGGCCCGAATGTCTATTTTAGGTTGTTTGTCTGCAGGTATGGTGACTGATACTAGTTCTCTTTGCGAGAAACTGCTTGTTCTTCTTGACCAACAGAGTGGAATTCGAGGAGCACAGGCACCGTCACAACGGAAGGTGCCACGAGAACCAAAGGGCGCCTTCTGTAATCTCCATTTAGCTGACCAAAAGTGCTATCAAGACTTCGCTTGTAACCAACTCCATCTACATGAAGCGGGACCTGTCAGGCATCGTATAAACTTTTTTATGCGCCTCATTGAAGTACTAAAGTCTGAAAAGCTGCCCAGAAGGGAGATACTTCATCGAGTAAAGGATTCCATTTTCTTTGCACGCTATGGTAATAAGGTGACGGTACAATGTCATGGAAAATGGATTCCTTTCTTCAAAACCCTATATACGGACGGAAGGCTTGAACAGGCTTTTCGAATCCAACAGTATTCCTGTAATAACAATGGATGCACAGATGAACATTGTAAAGGAGTACATACCCAAGATCGAAGAGCAGTTTCGTCAAGTAAGCAAATGGATCTTCATAACCCACAAGCGTTGGCCGCTCAAATAGAGGAGGAAGCAGAGAGACTTCTTTCCTTGTTGGTAACGTATAAAAACCAGCCCCCAGAGGCACCACCTGCTCTTTCACTTTCGTCTCCAATGACAACAATCGCCTCACCTACGTCTGAGCTTTGGAGAAATACCGTTCGAGAATATGTTCGACAAACAGGTATCCCACAGCTGCAAGCTGATGAATCTTTGCTGAAGATGTTACAAGATGCCAATGTTGTAGGGACACCTGCTGCTTCGACAGAGAGCCTGACCCCCTTGTTGGATGAGCTTGATCTGCACGCGTTCAACTCTAGTACATCGCCGAGGAACGACTCGTGACCGTTACCCGGGGATTTCCATGAACCTTTATATCGCAGTTAACGATGAATATATATATATATATATATATATATATTA